AGCCCTGCTGGATTGAAGACTCAGATCTAAAAAAGATCCAAGCTTTGGGACTTCGAGGACTTGTTCATCCAGATCTGGTGCTCGGCGATCGTCAACGCCAAATAAGGTAAGAGTTCGAGAGGACCGGATCTTAGATCTACGTAGGCGTACTCCGGATCAAAGCTTGGTCTTTGATCCTGAGATTTGGGCGATTGTTTCCTTGGTGAACCAATCCCCCCAGCTATTATTTCCTTGGTGAATTAATACCCGTCGTACTGCGTAGATCCGACCGGATCTAGATCTCGCGGTGGTCCACGGATAAACCCCGGCGCAGGCAAAGAACCCACAAAAGCGAGCGACCGCAAAACAAGAGCTCACGATTTGTTCGAGTCACGCCCCGCTTCCCAAAATACCTGGGAATCGAAACGTGAACAAGCCCGCGACGTATTAAACTGAGAAGAGATAAGTGCTAGACCCCGTCTTCTCAATCTAATACGCTAAGCGTCAAGAAATACAAACGAAGGCACAGGTCCCCGATCACAGTAGCGAGAATATAATAAACAACACAGACAGAAAATATACATATCACAACTGAAATAACATCCGAGACACAAAGTTTGGGTCAAACATGCCCTTATTACAAAACAGTTCAACTAGAATAAGAAAATACATAGTCTGACAAAATAAGAAGATAGTACTGCAAATTAACTAAGCCCGTCGAAAGACTAAAGGATAAGGTACTACATAAGTAAATAGAGGACCAATAACTAAGCTTCGGCTTCTTCTGCTCGGTCTATAGAGCACTCCTGCGGGAATCATCTGGCTCCTGTACGACTCCGAACTGAAGCTGTCCATCATCTAAATCTGACGTACACCAGAGGAAACAGGTGTACGTCAGGGTGCAAGGCACACGGCAAGATCCCAAAAGGGAGAAAAGAACGGTCGTACGACCAATGCAAGAACAATAATAATAACAATAGTAATAATCTAAATGAAATCCACCACTAGAATATAATAATCAGAAGAATCCAAAACCAATCGGGTAACGAGGTTATGTAGCTAATGATCAGACTAAGGTGGCTCGGCCTTGGCCGAGCCACCTTGAGGTGGCTCGGCTTTGGCCGAGCCCCCGCGGGCGGTGTTTTCCGACTTTTTCGAGTCGTTTTCCGTTGTCTCGTTTGTCCGTGTTTCGGTTGACCTGAGACTCTGATTTGATGATCTGATTTGGCAGTAAATTGGATTCCTGATTTGGCAGTAAATCCGCTTCTGAGTTCGAGTCCGAAATTGATCTTGATTCGATCGTGATTCGTCCGAGTTTCCCCTTGGTTGGATGATTCGTTGACTCTTCGAACACTTGGCTTGATCCCACACGCGAATGGACGTATTTCGTTACTTGCGTGCGATTCGTCGATCTCGTCGCCTCGTTGGTTCGTCGGTTTGTGCCGAGCTGTGCTAAGGGACCTATAAGCGATTTTATATGCCTACACTCTCACATATAACCCATGGAGAAGGAGACTATATTGTGCTTGGTAGATAATGCTACCACACATACTATCCTGAAAGATAGAATTTTTTTCCAAACTTTGACTAAAAAACAAGGAAGTGTAACCACCATTGCTAACGATAATGTGTTGATAGTAGACTCCGGCAGAGCTTCACTAATACTTCCTATGGGTACGAAATTAATTATCAATGATGCATTATTATATCCAGAATCCAAACATATCCTGCTTAGTTTTAAAGATATCCGGTCTAATGGTTTTCATATTGAAACCGAAAATGAGAATGGTGTTGAACATCTTCTCATGACTCGGTCAATTAGATGTCGGAAGCAGGTTATAGAGAAGCTTCCATCTTTCTCCTCAGGGTTGTACTACACATATATCCAACCTAATCCTAACCATGTTGCGATGAGTTTAAAATTTAAAGACCCAAATTCATTTAAATTATGGCACGAGCGATTGGGTCATCTTGGGCAAAATATGATGCATCGGATAATATTAAATTCAATTGGGCATAATATGCCAAGCATCAATGTCCCCTCATCGTTAGACTATATTTGTGAGTCTTATGCTAAGGGAAAACTTATAGTACGCCCTTCTCGTACTAAAGTGAATGTTGAATCTCCCATTTTCCTTCAAAGAATTCAAGGAGATATCTGTGGACCCATTCATCCTGCATCAGGACTATTTAGATACTTTATGGTCTTGATCGATGCCTCTACTCGGTGGACTCATGTCAACTTGCTATCCACCCGTAATAATACCTTTGCTAAATTAATAGCAAAGATCATTGAATTATGAGCTCAATTTCCTGATTTTCCAATTAAATCTATTCGTATGGATAATGCTGCCGAGTTCACATCCAAATCATTTGTTGATTTTTGTATGGCATTAGGTATTAAAGTAGAGCATCCGGTTCCTTATGTCTACACTCAAAATGGTTTAGCACAATCGTTAATTAAGAGGATCAAATTAATTGCTAGGCCATTATTACAAAATTCAAAACTACCTATTTCTTGTTAGGGACATATCATTTTACATGCTGCTGTGTTAATCCAAATCCGACCAACTGCATATCATGATTATTTCGTCTTATAACTAGTGTGTGGTAAAGAACCAAACATTTCCCATCTGTGTGTTTTCGGATGTGCAGTTTATGTTCCAATATCACCACCCAAGCGTACCTCTATGTGCCCTCAGCGAAAGTTAGGTATATACATCGGTTATGAAACTTCGTCAATTATAAAATACCTAGAGCCCATGACATGGGATCAATTTACTGCTTGGTACGCTGATTGCATATTCGATGAAGATCATTTCCTGATATTAGGGGGAGATAAACACCAAAAATTAAATGAATTTCCGGGAAATATCATGGTATGAAAAAGATCTTCAATATTTAGATCCACTTACTAGTCAGACCGAACTTGAAGTTCAGAAGATAATTAATTTGTAAAATTTGACAAATAAGCTGCCAGACGCATTCACTGATCACAAAGGAGTGACCAAGTCCCATATTCTAAATGCACCACAAAGAGTGGAAATCCCACAGGGACTGAGTATATCAAATGATGCTCTACGATGCCAGAAGCGTGGGAGACCAATCAGTGCGAAAGATAAGAATCCGCGGCAAACTAAATATAATAAAGAAAGTCATTCACTCCCAAAATCTCCTGAGGATCATCCTGAAGGCAAAAGCTCCAGTAAAATTACACCGATCGAGCATTTCCCAAAAGGAATTTTTCTACACCAGTTGACCTACGTAAAAAAGATTTTGGAAAGATTTTATATGGATAAATCTCATCCACTTAGCACCCCAATGGTCGTCCGGTCCCTCAAAGTGGATAAATACCTATTTAGACCCAAAGAAGATAATGAAGAAATGTTAGGGCCAGAAGTTCCCTATCTGAGCGTCATTGGAGCACTCCTCTATCTTGCAAATTGCACCAGGCCTGATATTGCATTTCCGGTGAACTTACTAGCAATGTATAATGATTCTCCTACAAGGAGGTATTAGAATGGCGTTAAACATATCCTTCGCTATCTTCAAGGTACAAAAGATCTTGGACTATTCTATAAAAGAAATCAAGATATGACATTGGTGGGCTATTCGGACGCTGGCTACATGTCTGATCCCCATAACGCCAGATCCTAGACTGGTTATGTCTTTCTCTGTGGTAGTACTATTGTTTCTTAGAGGTCTGTTAAGCAGACCATGGTGACTACTTCTTCTAACCACTCAGAGATTATCGCTTTATATGAGGCTTCACGAGAATGTGTATGGTTAAGATCGTTTATACGACACATTCGTTGCTCGTGTGGTCTAGCGAAAGACGATATTACCCCCACTGTCCTTTATGAGGACAATGCAGCTTGTGTTGCACAAATGAGCAGTGGATATGTAAAAGGAACCATGACAAAACATATTACGCCAAAATTTTTTTATCCACATGAGGTCCAAAAGAATGGCGAAATCACAATCGAAAAAGTTCGCTCAAGTGACAATCTTGCAGATTTGTTCACTAAATCTCTACCTACATCAACTTATGAGAAATATGTTCACAATATTGGTATGCGCAGACTTGAAAGACTATCATCTTCAGGGGGAGCAAATTCTTAGAAAACAATCCTGAAGATTAGGACCTGAAGGTCTATCATCATATTTCCCCCCTTTTTGCTAAGTTTTGTCCCACTGGGTTTTTCTTAGTATAGACTTAGAAGATTGCCATCATCGATCAGGGGGAGAGAATTTTCAATGCAATCCTGAAGATTGCGTCTTGAAGGACTATAGTTGTACTTTTTTTTTCCTTTTGCTAAGTTTTGTCCCACATGGTTTTCTTAGCCAAAGGTTTTTAATGAGGCAACTAATGCAACATAAGAATCTACTTATGTCGTGTATTCTTTTCCTCGACTAGTTTTTCTCCCACTGGGTTTTTCTAGCGAGGTTTTTAACGAGGCATTGACATCTCGAAGTAATATCCAAGGGGGAGTGTTGAAATCTAAAAGACAAAATATATGTGGACATTACTTTGTATGTAGACTATTAACTTGGTGTCTTTTCATTAGCCCAATGTCCTTTTATCTTCCATCATGTATCTATAAATTGTACCATGTATGGAAATAGATTAAGTGGAATAAAAATTACAAATTTTCTTCTTCTCTTATCTCTTGTCTCTTGTTTTCATTTCTTTAGTATATTACAATAAGATCTTTTTTTTTTGTTTTTTAAAAAGGGAAAAGATGAAGCTCCAACATGTAGAGCTCCAGCCTGCTATCATTTACTTTGGTTGCAGAAAATACAATCTATGCCCCCCAACTCTAAGGGCGTGTTTGGATTTCAATGGGGTTAAGAGAAGTTAATGGAAACTAGGTGAGAGAAGAGAAGGAAAGAGAAGTGAGTTCCCTTCCCATTGGTTACACTACAATTTGGGGGCAACAAATTTTATACTATTAAGAGGTGAACTAAGGGGAACTAGGGTGAATAACTTCATCTCCTACAAAGTATATAGATCAAAACAAAGTATCATATTACATCCTAATCAGTAACACCCCCCACCCCCAGTATACAAGCACAAAATATAGCAGCTATACCAATCGAAATATAACCAAGATATTCTCAAAAGAAGCCGAGTACTAACAAAATTTGTTTTGAATATGTCTGGATTTGGGTGAATAAGGGAGAAAGAAGACATTCACCTTGTTCGGATTGCTTAAAGATTCCTCGTTGACCAGTACCTCCAGCCCACACGCGCCGTCGGCTGGGGCAAGGATCACCGTTCCTACGAGTTCCCCGGTTAGACCAAAACCCCAGATCGGAAATTTTGGGACTTTTTTGTTGTGATTTTGTAGTTATATTGTTATTATTATTATTATTTTATTTTTTTTGGGTGTTTTCGATAGGTCCCAAGAAGGAAGTGGAGGATTAGCTCGTGGTCGCCGGATTCAAGGTGAGCCTCGATTTGAGTTTTGTTACTAAACTGCTTTGATATATGGATAAATCTCTTGATTTATGAAAATTAGGGCGTTTTATTACTCGCAATGTCTGAAGTAATTCTATTTTGGGTATTTTAAGCCTACACTAGTTCTATCTCAAAATTGAATTTCGATAGGTTTAACAATAAATTTAACAAATATCAGGAGTTCTAATGTTCTAAAATTAGGATGCGAGTGTGGCATGAGAAATTTTGAGGGGAATGCTCACGTCATTAAAGTGCAAATTTTGAAAACTTTATGGTATATGAGTGCTGCAAAAAACAATCGAGGGCAAAATAGGGGAGACTATAGGGTATTTAAGTGCAAATAATAAACCTTATATAAAATATATGCGTCCTAAATTTTGTATAGATAATTTATTCTCCAGCGATTTTTTTTGACGCCCTTAACCTTTGATGATTGTATACAAGACTTATTGACTATCACCACATTGTAGCGCAGGTAATCTATCAGATTCAGGGTTCAAAGGTAGACACCATGAGAAAGTTTGGTAGCAGCAATCTTGCAAATATCTGTATGCTTAGAAAGAATTTGTTTGCAGGAAAGATAAAAAGGACTTGATGGAGACCCATATCGAGGGCATAACGTACTGAGAATTAAGCAGCTAGAAACAAGATTTATATGGAGATGTTATTGCTGTTGAAGCTCCTATATTTTAGAAAACCAAACCTCAGAGAATGTTCTGAACTGATTACTGGAACTAGTTACACTGGTAACAATTGGTTGCATGCTTCATTACTGGAAAATATGTTATGCTTTGAGCAATTTAGTAAAACTCAATTGCCTCGTCCAAGGATGATTCGCTACGAGTATGTTGTTTCTTCATGTATTATAACTCATTATTGAGAATATATATTGTTTCTTCATGTATTATGACTTACTTTGACCTGCGTAGATATTCCACCAAATAATTTCAAGTGTTCATCACGCAGACACCTTTAGCCTCTTGCTTCTCATTGAAGAGTTTCTGAGATGAAATCTTCGAGTCAATGTTGAGAGACAGGATTTGATGAATTGCTAGCAACCGTTATGCGACCTGAACGAGAAGCAATCTCTTTGTGGGTGTGTTGCAGGTAAGGAGATGCCAGCAAAAGCAAAAGTTCCAGAAAGAGTTTGCAGTCTGTCTCTGTCATAAGAAGGTTGTTAATTCAAATACGTGCATCATTTTCTTCGCTAAGGTTACTGCATTTAGTTTCAACAAAGGTTTTGATGGACAAATTATGGTATTGATCCGAACCTTATTTTCATGTTAAAAAAAAAAGCTTGTTTGCTTGATTGAAGATTGATTACGGTCACGGTTGTTGAAAATGTCTGATGGTTTTTTTCCTATTAAAACAGGTGTTAGAATTTATTTATGGTCACCATGGCCGTGGAAGCCAGTAAATTATCAACTAATATGTTATTGGGAAAGCTTAAGTCTCTGGAGGATGTATCCACTACAGACGGAGCTTACTCTCTGTTTGTCGCAGAAATGTGTATTTACGAGCTTTCATTTATTAGGAAAAGAATTCATATAGTATCTGTAGAAAATCATATAGATATGCGTAGCCAAACACAATCCTTAAAACTGGTGCTTAGTAACAGTTCAACTTCAAAATTTTTATTGGCACACATGCCTTTGTCTTGATTTTCTAACTAAGCCATTTGTTGCAATTTTCGACTTCCCTGTAAGATTTTCTTTGCAGGGCTCTCATAGGAAAAAAATTTCCCCAATTAGGCTGTTTGTTGTTAGCAGTTCAAACACTTTGCTGCACTAAATAATTTGCTGACAGTTGTGCTTGTAGAGTGTGCTGTGGAATTACTCGTATAGACTTGCTGACATGCAGGAGTCTGGGCTACACAGCTCCTCATGTTGGAGATAGGTTATCGTAGTTCTCATTTCTAGCTGAAGTTTGGTTTTGGCGAATAGTAAGATAGTAAGATGCAAGACCCCAGTCATTTTTTCCGGTTATTTGATATGAGTCCCCCAAATGATTGAAATTTGAAATTAGTCCTCAAATCTTGTTACTATTTTGAAATTAGCCCCCCGAGTCTTTAACTAATTTGGGGACTAATTTCAAAACACTTAGAAGCTTTGGGGGACTAATTACAAAATACCCGATTCACTCACAACCTGAACTGGCTGTATGCGAAATTTCATGTCCAAGTCTTAAGCTAGATTTCCATCACTGTCTCAATTATAAGAGGTGTAACATGCAAGCTCGCAGTCAGAAGGCCCGCAATGCTGCAATAGTCAGCCCTCGCATGGTTACACTCAAAAAATTACTAAATGAATCATCTTATCTCAACATCAATCTCAAACCTAATAGAGGACCCTCTTATATCATCTATGCCATTTCTATTCATATCAAACCAAACATCTTTCTGTTAGTTGGAAGGCAAATGGTCCAGATCAGTAAACTATTCCTCAACCTGGCTTAGTGTAAATCAGAAGTAGTCTCAATGTGCACATCTAATGGTTAAACCACCAAGAGCTTAATCTCATGAACTCAACCTGAGATTATTGATTACACATAATATCATCACAGTATAGTTCATCAATAACCACAGTATATCATCAGACATGCATAACACATATAAAAGCATCATCACAGTATAGTTCATCAATAACCACAGTATATCATCAGACATGCATAACACATATAAAAGCATCTTTTATATGAGAAAAAGGGCCAATGCTAGTCGACTGAAACAGGGTTATTAGAGCTTCAACCAACTAAATCTTGAGTAGACATAGTTGGGACTTCTCCTTGCAGGATCTGCACTCTGAACTCCAATTTATTGCAATCCATCAATTCATAGACACAACCATCCCCAACCTTCAGTTTATTGTCAAGTGCAAAATCTCTCCATCCAGTGTTTATTCTCTTCAAGGTTAGTTGTCCTGAGTATTTCGCCTTCCACCTCTTGCCTCTGCAGTATAAGACCACATCAACAGAAGAATTGGGTAGAAATCGACGGAAACACCGGGGAATCACCTATACATCAAAATAAAGAGGAAAAAAGGTTTGTCAAATACTTATTAAGTTTTACTTCTTTAGTTGGTTGGAAGTATGTCTGTATCTTCTAGATGGTGTTGTGATGCATGGTTTTGGGTTAAGCAGTGCGATAAGTTGTGTACTTTGTTTAGTTGTAAGTTTGTTGTGAACATGGATTGTTTTCTGATGATGGGTTCACAACTAGGTGCTAACTGAACGTTAATGCTAAGGGCCCGTTTGGTTGCACATTTTGACTAGGAAAAGAGTGAAAAGTGGTTAAAAAGTGGGATCTGGGTTTATCTTTATGAAGTTTTCAGCATTTGTTTGCAAAATCTCAAATATTTGATAAATTGTTGATGTGTCAAGGGGTATGCTAATGTGTCAAGGAGTATGCTAATGTGTCAAGGAGAAGGTAATTCATCTAGAAAAGAGCCAATTTGGCCATAAAGCTAACTTCTTGTTAGAATAACATATTAAAAATTTAATTTGTCACATAACACGTTGTTAGGGTTATCTCGTCTCTTATCGTTTCTCTTTTGGTCCTCTGTTTTTTGCTTGCTGCAACTTGCGATATTGAAGTTGGATCCCAAAAAAATTGCTCGATAATACTATGAAAATCATAAAAGAGTAGCCAATCAACCAATTGAAAATCTTGATACACCCTGCGAAATGCTACCTCTCCTATTCAAGTCAGATCGTCCTCAAAGATGGATTCTTATAACAAAGAGAAAAATACCCATGTCAAAGTTAGGATTGACAAAGCATCACGTGCAAACAAATGTTGAGTTGCACGAAATGAGGATCAGGAGATGATGACTAGTTTTCTTGATAAAGTGGGTGATATTGCATCTGCAATCAAAGATGCCAATTAAATTATAGTGTAAAACTAGCGGAGAATGTGTACCATCTTTATCAATTCCTGCAACATGAATTAGATCGCACACTCGAACATCTATATGACAATGAGAAGCGAGCTAGGCTATTCATAGTGAAGCCACAATCATGGATGAGTAACCATGTCTTGTAGTATTTATTTTTCTTACTTTACTGACCCAAATTTCACAAAATACTACAAAATACAACCAAACAAAGACAGGTCATTTGTCTACAACAAAAGCAAGAAAATCAAAACCTACATTAAAATTCATAATCACTCTATCATTTTAAGAAAAGGCACTATTTTTGATCCATAAGAACTCATCCTAGTTTGAAGTCTCGTCAATGTCATCTCCAATCTCTATTACCCTCCAAGCCATACTTCAAGACATGGTTATTCATCCAAGCCACTTTAGACGTCAATAGCTTCACTATGAATATCCTAGCTTGCTTCTCATTGTCATATAGATGCACGATTGCATGATGTAATACATTTTGCGGGAATTGACGAAGAGGATACACTCTCAGTCAATTTCACACTATAATGTTGATGGGCAATTTGGCATCTTTATTTGCGGATGCAATTTCATCCACTTTATCAAGAAAACTAGTCATTGCCGTTGGATCCTCATTTCATGCAATCCGATGTTTGTTTGTACATGATGATTTGTCAGTTTTAACTTTGACATTGATACTTTTCGCCTTGTTATAAGCATCCATCCCGTGAATGATCCAACTTGAGTAGGAGAGGAAGCATTGTTGATGGGCGTATCAAGAATTTGAATCAGTTCATGGCCACCCTTTAAGATTTTCATAGAATGGTCAAACAAAATTTTTTGGGTCTGACTTCAGTATTGCAAACATGCATCAAGCAAAGAACGGAGGATCAAAAGAGCTAATGAGAGAGTAGGTAATCCTAATGACATGTTAGGTAAAAATTTAAAATTTTAATCAATTGTTCTGACAAGAAGTCTTTAACTTTTTGGCCAAACGAGCTCTCTTTGGTGAATTACTTTTCCTTAATATATCAGCATACCCCTTGACAATCAGCAATTTACAGTCGCAGACAAACAACGAAAACTTCGTAAAGCTAAACTCATACCCCACTTGCCACCTTTTTCCTCGTCTAACCGTGCAACCAAACAGCTCCTACGCAAACCAAACAAGCACTATATGATTCTAATGGATCCAAACCAAACAAAGAAAAATGTGAACGTGAAAATGATGAAGTGGGTGACAACTTTCCAATTTGTGTCATAAATACACAAGTTTACAATGAACAACCAAATAATACTAGATCAAGTTTAGCCACTAGAAAATCAAGTGATATTGAGAACGTGCAAAGATTTATTTTTCTTATTGAGCATAGATTTTCCTATGAACAACACTAATTAAGACTTGGCGTTTGACTGGTTCACTTTCATCAGGCTTGTGTGACTCAGTGCTTGCATCCTTGATATGATGGTTAATAAACCAATAACATGCTCACAGTTCATAATTACGGAAGCATAGAGATACTGTACCAACGAGAAAGGATCAGTGACTTGGGTCTTCACTACGATTGACGTGAAGTATGGATTTCCTGAAAGTGGGGCTATTCTATCTCGCTTGCAGGATGTGCGAAGAGGTGCTCTTCTCATCTTTGATTCAGGGGTTTTAGATGAATTCCTGCTCCTTTCATTTTTAGCATCTGCATGATTAACACAGAAGACAATATTCAACAGTATGAAATAAAGATGATATTATTGAATAATCTTATTACTGAATAATCTTTAATGGATTACAGGAAAAATTGTGTACCAGCAGAAAAGTCGCACGAACTTTGGGTGAAGAAGTTTTGATCTTGCAGAGGAACTTGACAGAGAGCCGGGGTGCTAGAACCGCATCTTGAAGGGTTTTTCTGTAAATTTTGTTTAACGAGGCATATATGAGACGTGCCGTAATTAATTATGAAATACTGATATTATGAGGTTTATGGAGTGGGAAAACAAATTTATCTCCAAATCTTTGTGAAGCAGAGAAGCAAAAGGAAGAAATAATCATAAAAGAAAGTTGATGACGAATCAGAAAATGCAAAACGCTGTAAGTTACTCACCATGGAGATTTTTGAGGAAGCAAACGGAAGGGAAGCTCAGAAGCAGTGCATTTGATCAAGACAACGGCAGCAAGGCTTCCAATGTTTTTAGTGAGGCCCGTGAGCTTGTTACTTGAACTGATCAGGAACGTGTACAATGTCCATTATCTTGAAAGAAGTGCACCTTTGGCTTTGTTCAGCTCCTTGGTAATGGTAATTAATGTTCTTTACTCAGTAAACAAACTAAGTATTGTCTACTAAACATCATATCAAATGAACTACTT